CACATAACATTTTTCTTGTTCTCAACTAAGCAAATGAAACTCAACAATATTTTCATAGATTATTATTAAAGCCTGAATTTAAACACAGAGAATCCTGAAGGCCCTGAAAGATGAACAGACTACTGAAATAAAAGCTTTCACAGAAACATCCTCGTTTATCAGATGACTATCTAGGCTGCAATTTTAAAGCTAGTTCTGCCATTAACATAAGAAAGAACACAGACAACAATTGGCTTTGGTGTAAGCCTGGATTTTCATCATGTTCAGCATAAAAACATTACATAAATGAACTGAGTAACTGATGCTGCATGCCAAATATTGAGGGGAGGGAGACATTATTTCAAATATTATAGACTACTCTTCAGTTCCATGCAGCTTCAGTATCAAATATTCAAGCATCATAACATATGAAACAACCTCTAGCAATGTACTTACTATACATCTTAACACCTAATGAACTACTCAAATTATACTATACTGCCTAAAACGAGAGGCTTGTGAAGTAGGATGCTGTGGAAATAAAATCCTCATAAAATCCCATACAAAACAGCTGATCTATGTGTTTCACTTAAAAGGAGGTAAGAATTTACAACTTGCTGGATTTTGCATTTCTTCCAAGTCTGCAGTGCAACTGTTGAGATGTTAAATTATCAAATTATGCATTTAGAGAAAACGTGGTTTAATTATATACATATATACTATTTTGAGCATTTCTTTAACAAATTACACGTTGAATTATAACTCTAGGTCTGTGACCATAAAATAAAAAAGTAAGTACAGTATGTGGCTTGGAATTATAACTGCAATTCTGTACAAAAATCATGCATGGACAGATGCCCCCGTGCCTACTTATACGGCCATACCTGAGTTGCAGGACTGAAGAAAGAGCCCAGGAATCCTATCCTGTACACATGTCTACACTTAAAAACCATTTAAGTCAAGCTTCCGTGTCTTATGATTTGAAATGTTGAAGCGCTATTTTGGTAAGTTTTATTTTCATTTCTAGATATTTAAGAAATACCTTCTTGTTATTATAGGCCGAGTCATGGCATCAGTCAAGAAAATACAAAAGTGATACGTTCTCCATACCCTGTTTCCCCAAAAATAAGACCTAACCTGAAAATAAGCCCTAGCAGGATTTTTCGGGAAGCTCATAATATAAGCCCTACCCCAAAAATAAGCCCCAGTTAAGTGAAACCCCACCCTTCACCATTGTGCAGCAACCAGAAAATGACATGATTGTGTTTGAATAAATGTAGATTGTTGTACATGAAAAAAATAAAACATCCCTTGAAAATAAGCCCTAATGCATTTTTGGAGCAAAAATTAATATAAGACCCTGTCTTATTTTGGGGGAAAACAGGGTAGGTGTAGCCTGCCACTTAAACAACTAATGCAACCTTTCAACCACTTGTGATGCTCTCAGGTTAATATGGTTTGTAAGTGACTTCATCTGTTTTGGTTAGAGCTACAAATGTTTATTTTTTATTTTATTTATTAGATTTTTATACCTCCCATCTAGTGGAACCCATTACTCTGGGTGATTCATAACAATGCACAAAAAACAAGGTATATTATAAAATTCAACAGTGACACCTATAACTAAATATAATTACCATGTGGCAGGATGGAGAGCAATTGTTCCATTGTTTTTTCTTTCTTTTCTCCTCTCTCTCTTAACTAAGAAAGGCCTGCCCAAATGCTTCTCTAAAGAACTGTGTTTTTATGAGCTTCTTAAAAGTCTGAAGACAGGGCACCTGGCGTATTGATGGAAACCCCCTCAAACTGACTTTTTTTAAAAGGGGCAACAAAGCATTTAGAAAGACTTATATCTTAATACAGCTACTTGTAAAAAATACAGGTGCACTCCTTGCTCTCATACAAGAAGAAATGCTGCTTCCAATCAGAGCCCACTATGATACATTCATCTACAGTTTAAGGGGAAATGCAGTAACTTCCATCAAAACAGACATATAACATTGTTTCATTTCTTTGGAAATTTATTTAGATGTATTTATAAAATTTTAAAAAAATGAATCAATGAAGACTCCTTCAGCAATGGATATATGGCATATTGTTAATGCATGCTTAAAGACAAAGTGTTATTATATCCACGCTAGGCTACATATGACAAGTGACAGTGATGCTTAATATCCTCTAAGTCGTGCTGGCCATGTGACCACAGAAACTGTCTTTGGACAAACGCTGACTCTACAGCTTGGAAACGGGGATGAGCACGCCCCCTAAAGTGACACACGACTGGACTAAATGTCAAGGGGAACCTTTACCATTACCTTACTTATTCAACTACCAAAGAGGATCATTAACACCCCTAAAATTGGAAATATTTCACTGGGAGCTGCACACAAAAAAATCAGTCTGAATAAAAGCCAGCTGAACTACTGAACTTAACTAATCGGCAACATCCTCTTGCAGAGGTCTGCCTGTACAGAAGGAATAATACCACTGGCAGCAGATGGCCAGGAGTTAAAGACTTCCCTTCTCCTTCTGGGATGACTTGCATAAAATGAGACAAAGTCACATAAGCCCAAAATAAAAAAAAAATTCTTCAATTGCCAGCAACCTGCTACCTCAAATAGTGTCAATCCTATTGTGCAGGCAGAACACCACAGGATACTGGGCACCACAATGTAAAAAAATATTATTGATGGTTATTGTTTATAATATAAATATTTGTGTCTTACAGTATAAATTTAAATAATATATAACCTAAACTTAATAAAACAAACATAATATAAGTCTGAATGACTGGCTATCTGAGTGGCATTTTTAGATGGACTATTGTACCTTACAGCTTTGAATGTGTTTTGGTGCTCGTTATGTTTTGCAGTATGGTATTTGCTTGGTCTTTTTTAGTATTTGAATACTCAATGTTATTAGCTTTAATGTTGTCTTTTAATGGTGTAAGCCGCATTGAGTCCCTTTAATGAGAAAGTCAAGGTAAAAACGTTTTAAATAAATACACAGAAGTAATATGTGTATTTATTACAGTACTATGCCTCTATGAGAATTCCCAATAGGCTACCTAGTATAGTGAAGATGTGGGTTTGATTCCCTCGCTATGCCATAGAAACTCACCGGGGACTGGAACTGGTAGCCACTCCTTAAATATCTTACTTACTTTGAAAACCCTATAAGTCAGCTCTTACTTGACAGGACATTACAACTACTGTTTCCCCCAAAATAAGCTCTAATCTGAAAATAAGCCCTAGTATGATTTTTTCAGGATGCTCGTAATATAAGCCCTACCCCAAAAATAAGACCTAGTGAAGTGAAACCCCACCCTCCACCATTGTGCAGCATTGCGCAGCAACCAGAAGACGACATAACTGTATTTGAATAAATGTAGATTGTTGTACATGAAAAAAAAACATCCCCTGAAAATAAGCTCTAATGTGTTTTTGGAGCAAAAATTAATATAAGACCCTGTCTTATTTTTGGGAAAACACGGTAAGTTCACATTATAAAAACTTTGGGCTAAAACCAACTAATAGTTTCTATTAGAATAGAGTCACTTGTCTCAATTAGAGTAGAATTGCAGAATCAATGGGACTTATCTAGGTATTACCAGAACAACTACAGTTCATTAATGGATATATTCTAGCACAGATTAACAACTGTCTTTGCAGCTTACAAGTTAACTGATTTCATATGCCAAAAATACTGAAGCAATAGCATATTGCACCTATGTTTTCTAAAGTGTGGTTATGCCATCATAACAAGAAATCAACGTACTGTATTCTTATCTTAGCCACTCCTCCACAAGAGTGTTAGTAACATTCAACATATAGTTTAGACTGTGTATCTAGAGCCATTTAAACCATTACTTTTTAAAGCATGGATTTCATTTTTTCTGTTCCAACTACATCATGTGACATAAAAATTTCAAAGCTGTAGCTATTCATGAGTAACCCTGAACTCAGACCTCTCCAAAACCCACACTTCACTATTAAACAGACAGGACTGTCCCAACTAGAGGTATAACAGAACCAGAACTCCCATCGCCTAGAACCTACATTGGCAATGGCATTGTCTATCTAGCCCAATTTGTCTGATTTCTCTGTTTGGCTACAAACTAATTGAGGACATGGCTTTTCCTGGAAACAATACTGTACACTGTTTTGAACCGTAACTGCTGTTATAATAAAATACATTTGGTAGTGGCTTAGTACAAAGTACTTCCCTCCTTGTGTAGATGAATATGACCAGAAATTACTATTCACTTAAAGATAAACTACTCAGTACAGTACGTACTGGTCTTTTGTAGATGATTATGACCAGAAATTACTATTCATTTAAAGATAAACTACTCAGTACAGTACTGGTGTGTGTGGGGGGACTCTTGCAAATTTTTCAACTACCAGTCTAGTGTCTCAACTCTTTCCTTATCCAGTCTCCTCTCCAAAGATAAAACCCAAAATGTGAACACTTTCTAGATCGTCTGTCAATACTGTATACTATGACTATATTTGGATTACACACACCCCCACCACAAAAGCTGGAGGTATGCATTGCTACTTACTTCCCCCCCCCTTCCGCTACCAAATCCCTATAGCTGCCGACTTTTGGGGGGAAGCTTGGGAAAGGCGTGGCTAGAGGGCCCCTCACGACAAGCACCTGCACTTCAAAATCCCACCCCACCCCCGGCGCTGCAAGGTGGTTCCAAGACCCTCCCCGGGAGTGGCGGCAATGGGTTCGGCGTCGTTAACCGCTGGCCCATGCAACTGGCCCCCCCTCCGCACTCGCCCTCGCCGCCAGCCCGGGAAAAAAGGCTCCGGGGTTCAACCTGAAGTGAATTCCCTGAAGTGGCAAGCTGTGCCACCAACTGAGGAAACTGGGCGCTGGAGGCAGAGAAGGGAAGGGACTCTCTCCCCCCCCCCCCGGCCTTAGAAACCCCAGCCGATCCACCTGGGACTAAAAACTCCCGAGGCTGAAGAGAAGCTCTGCCCTCCCCGGCCCCTCACGCCCGGGGGACTCACCCGAGGAAGCAGCCCAGAAGGAAGCAAGAGGCCAGGAAGAGAGGCCGACGGGGCAGCCCCTTCATCGTCTCCCCCGTCTGCCTCTTCGGGCCAGGGAGCGGCGGCGCATCCTCCCGGCGGCCGTTTCGATCGACGGAGCTGAGTCAAAGCGTCTCCTCCCAACGGGACAGGTGGGTCGGCGGCCCGCGCCCGGCTCTGTCTGTGCCCTCTCCCTGCCTGCCTGCCTGCCCGCCCGCTCGTCTCGGCAGAAACCGGCAGTGCCTCCCGTTCCTCTCGCTCAAGCCCGGACGCGTCGAGGTGGAATGTGACGCGTCAGCCGCGGCGGGCCAGAAGAGCGGCGGCGGCGGGGGACCGAGGGCCACGCCTGCGCACTGAACGGCTTCCTCGCGCCCCACCCACTGACCTCAAACGCAAACGGCGCAGCTGCCGCCAGCCAATCGGCATGCCTTTCCTAGCTGACTCCAGACTGGTTGCCCTTCCCTCCGGCGGAAACTGCTTCCCCTCCCCCACAGGTAACGTCACAAGAAGGTACGTGGAAGGGGTTCACAGCAGTGCCGGGAGCGCAGTCCAATTGACCAATATATATTTGTTGTTGAGCAAAAATACAGGAAAAAAAGAAGATAATAAAGGACACGGTATAAATGGAACATTCTCTTTTGGGAGTGCGAGTCAGAAAGCTGTATCTCCCTTCATAAGCTCAGGCACTGTACCGGACAGCCTGGAGCCAAATTGAGGGCCTTCCATGTGCTCGTGAGCAGTTAGGCTCCGGCAAAAACGCCCTGGCTTCCGGGTTGAGTCGCGAGGGGGATTTTTTGCTTGTTTCCTCCGCAGCGGAGGTGCTTTTTCTTGCTTCCAGGCGGAGCAGTCGCGAGATCGGGCCTTTACGGTCTTCCATCTCGGGATATCTGGTTTTTTGTTTTTTTGAAGTAAAGATGGTTTTTTTCTTCAAGTGGAATTTTGATCCCAGATGGTTGATCTGACTTGTAAAAGAGACTCGCGTCAAATGTACACGTCGCCTTTAATCCTTCCCGAATCCGCAGTCGCTCTTGTTGCCTGTGTTGTGTGACTGCGGATTCAGGAAGGATTAAAAGACACCTGTAGACCTCGTCTGGGCGGCCCCCGTTCCTGTTGCCCTTCTGCCGACAGGAAAAGAGCGGTTTTTCAGACTTTCTTTTGGCGAGTGACAGGCTGTTAAGGGAGGGGTTTTTAGATTCTTTATTTAAAATATTTTAAATCACCTTTCTCCTTAAAAGGACCCAAGGTAAAAACAGTATCAATGGCTGCATCAGCAGAAGAGAATGGATAGCTCCAGTGGTGGAAAAACGTCTAGAGGGCAGCTGCTGGGCAGCAGCAATAGCTGAAGGAGAAACTGATGGAAGATCATTCACAGACAACAGCTGCAACATTCAACCTAACTTTTGACAATACTGTGCAGAAGAAGGCAGAGGTGACCACTGCTGAAACTTTCTTACTCTGAAAGCTCTATCATGAGACAGTCCAAAATAAAACGATAGTGCTGAAAGATCACATTCCCAGGTCAGAAGACACTAAGTCAGCTACTGGGATTACCTTCTCCTTGTTCAGCTCATGAAGTGTATTGTTGGATCTTGGCCATAGTCTTATAGTTTAAAAACATTACAGAGGAAAGAACAAGTTCAGGTAGCACTGACACTAATGATGCAACTAGATTAAAGCCGAATGGACATTTAGTGGCTGATGCGCACAGCGGTGAAAGGAAAGTCCAGTGCTGCATGACACACAATTGGAACGTGGAACATGAGAAGTATGAATCAAGTTAAACTGGAAACCATGAGGATAAAGAGCAGAATGTTGGATATTGCAGTGGTTGCTGTCAAGTGAACTAAAACTGACTGGAATGGGACATTTTCAATCAATTACAAAATGTTTTACTATGGAAATGATAAACTCAGAAGAAATGGAGAGGCTCTAATACTGACCTAGCATTGGCTATTAGGGCTTTAATGTGAGGTCTGACCAATTAATATTAATATATTTTGCAAAAAGCTATCAGCATAAACATTAGTCAAGTCTATTTTCCAACTACAAATGCTGAAGCAGATGAAATTGAAAGCTTTTATGCTTTAAGTATGGAAGAAGTTGATAACACATCAAAATAAGACATGCTTATAATCATAGGTAACTGAAATGCTAAAGTAGGACACAAAGAAGAACTAAATGTTGTTGGAGAATTTGGCCAAGAATTGGAAATGTAGCTGGAGAATGACTCATAGAGTTCTGTTTATCTCAGATACATGCTTCAAACAGACAGCTGTGTACATAGAAATTACCAGATGGAACAGAGACGCACACTATCTGACCATACGAAAACAAAGCGAAGGTGGGAATGGTATACTGAAGACCTATACAGAACAGATAAAAGAGTGACAGATTCCTTTGAAGAGTAATCCTATGATGTAGAACCAGCAATTCTAGAAAGTGAATTGAAAACTGTTCTGAAAGCACTTGGAAGAATTAAATCAACAGGGGTAGATGGAATAACCGCTCCCTAAATATCTCAC